GTAGGACAGGATTTTTCGATGAGTGAAAAGAACGAGTGAAAATAAAAAAAATCCTGTCTCGGGAGTGAAATAAATTCCATATCCAACAACAAAACATGGAATTTTCTGTTTATTACATTTTCTTTGATTTCTCTTTGCCTCTATCTTTTCTTAACACAGTGTTATGGGCTGTGACGTCATAGTTGAGCGGTTGAGACGTCATAGCTTAGCAATTGTGAGATTGAAAACATTGTAACATGGATTTTAGCAATATATTTGGGAGGAAAATTACAGTTTTAGTCTTTATCAAGATGGTTTAGTTACTATCTCTATCTTATAACAGGCCAGAAATCATTACTTACTTTGATACCCTTTCACACTGACAGAATATCATTTTGGTATCCTTTCACCCTGTGAAAGAATATCACTTTTATTCAATAAATAAATCACAATTATGGTGACAGCAATTATGAAAAGGCTATGGTGGAATATTTGTGCCATCCGCAGACGAGTACAGTGCATTGTTTTTTTGTTTGTTTGTTTGTTTGTTTGTTTTTCTTGACATAAGATATCGCGTCAAGATAACTCTCTCCTAAAGTCAAGATGACTTGCTGTTTTTTTTGTTTTTGTTTTTTTTTACGAGATACACCAAAAAATTTTCAAGAGTCTATAGAATAAAAACAAACAACTTTTTTTTTCTTTTTTTTTTAAACATTTTTACAGTCAGTCTTCACGATTAAATATAAAGTAGGTTTTTTGATATGATAGACAAATGCTTCTTCTATAAAAATTGAAAATTTCGTGTCTTGTGTTTGTTCATCAACAGAATTACTTTGTTATAAATCACTCTGATTCTACACTAAACAAAAGTTGATATTAAAAGAATGTTGGAGTTCCTCATTGACAACATTTTTGTAATTTTCGGAGACAAAGTCTTCTAACAATCTGTTGGAATTCCGATGGGCACTAATTGTTCTCCTTTATTAGCCGACTTGTTTTTTATTCCTATGAAGCAGAATTTATTCAAAAACTTCTACATGAGAAGAAGAAAACACTGGCTGTAGCCTTCAACTTGAAATTTAGAAATATCGACGACGCTTTATCAATAACAATAATTATTTCCATTTATGTGTTGACTCGATATATCCCAGTGATCTTGCAATGAAAGACATCACAGAGTCTGCCACATCTGTTTCATATTTAAATGTTTTACTTACTATGTACGAGAAGGTCCAACTAACAACTAAATTGTATGACAAACGAGATGACTTCAGCTTTTCAATCACCAACTTTCCTTATTTATGTAGTCACATTAGGCTATCACATGCATAATGGTTTTATATTTCCAAACTTATTTGATACTTGATAGCATACTCCGACTACGATTAATATTGAAATCGAGGCAGGCTACTGACAGATAAGTTGATATTACAGGAATTGCAATAATCTCGATTAAAATCAGCATTTCGAAAATTCTATAGTCGTTATAATGACCGTATTAACAAATATAATTATCAGCTTTTAGCTGACAGTTTAGAGAGAAAAAAAATAATTGAATGTAACGTTTCTAGTGGAGATATATTTGAAAATTCTTTTTTCCCATACCATGTTATCTATTTCCAAATGTTCTATCAATAACTATTAAGCGTACGATGTTTTTATTACATCTCTTCTTTCATTAGTAATCTTACTAGACAGAGCTCCTATACCAGAACTTTGGAAAATCTTAACTGAAAATATTCTTATGTTGTCTTCGGAATAGAATGTACCCTTTATGGCCTCATTTATGCTGGGGAAACCAAGGGTTCACTGAATAATAGATTATTGGGACATAAATTTCAAATTAACAACGGGGCCCAACAGCTTCTCTACAGTCACTTTAATTTACCTGATCACTCTATCCTTCTATGAAATTAAAATTTTAGAAAAGATTTGCCATCATTCTAATAGCCCATCACTAATTACACCTTTCCGTAGACATCGAGAAGTATACTGGATAAGAAAACTGGGCACGGCATTTCTGTATGGTAACAATGACAATGTCGATAGTGTCATGAATCATTCAAGTCCACAGTGTAGCAATATGAATGTGATGGGACTTTTTAACAATTTACAGAGGCGTAAGCATAGTCAAGTACATAAGTCTTACAATAAACCTATTATACACGATGTCTCCTTCGATTCACTACTAACTTATATGAATAAATAGAATTTTAAATAGTCTATTTGAAAAAGTCAAGGTAAGTCCATATTTGGATCCCTCGACACCAGAATACAGACTCAAATATGTGATTATATATATTGCAAATTACAGGCCTTAAAACCGCCATGTTTTGTGGTAGAAAATCTGCTCAAACAACTCGTTTGTTCCTTAAACTTCAAATGCCATCAAAGGAATCATGCAATTAATTTAAGTAAATTTCTTAATCGCGAAAGGTTCCAGTCTTGTATTTCACCATATTTCAAGAAGTCCACAGCTTGTATTTCTTACATATTTACATCTACTATTGTTTCCAAACTTTTTAACTACCAAAAAAAAAAAAACTGTACAGTGCCTTGATATCAAACACCTGAAACATAATCTCCAACGTGTTCATGTTCAACAAAAGCCCTGCTGGACACGTCATTACTGGTGACGTAAACATACTTCATGACGAGAGGACCTTAAATCACTTATCTTAAAAGGGCCAAAATTTAGGGAATCCCAATCTTTCAACTGGCTTCATAATTTCATAAATATTATGAATTCTGTGGAAGATTTAATTTTTTATTTACACACTGAAATTTCTACGGATTTTTTCATTTACCCGATCATGACAATGAGCACACGGCGGGTGTGACCGGTCGGCAGGGGATGCTTACTCCTCCATGCCACCTGATCCCACCTCTGATATTTTAGAGGTCATTGTGTTTGCTCTGCTCCTGATTTGTATTGTTTGAATGGACTTCTGAGATTGATAACTGATCATTAAATCCATATTTGATTTTCAGTAATATAAAAGTACATATATGTGTAAACCAAACTATTGAGTTTTTCTTATGTAATAATAAATTATTCAAAAGAATGCTATTCAATTAAATATTTTTTGGTTTGTTTTTCTTTCATTGTTTGGTTTGTTTGTTGTTGGTTTTTTTCATTTTTTTATCAGAGATGATAACTCACTCCTCCAAGGGATGCTCACTCCCCTATGACACTTGATCCCACCTCTGATGTTTTGGAGGTCCATGTTTGCTCTGCTCCTATTTGTATTGTTTAATGGACTTTTGAGCTTGAGAACTGTTCGTTATCCCCATATATTTCATCACTCGATATGAAATCATTTATAGATACTTATTTATTAAATGAATGACTCTTTGCATTAATTGTTTCACTTTTGTCATGTCAGTAACTCAAAAAAGACCAAATAATGGAAATTTTGAATTAGATTTATGGTTTATTTTCTATCATATTTAAAGGAGAAAGTGTATGGAACGGTTTATATGAAAATTTTATCCCTAAAAGTTATCTTCCTCCGACAAAAACAAAACAACTCAAATTAATTCAATAGCAGTAATGCATTTGAAGAATATTTTCAAGAAAATAATATCTGAAAACAACGAACATACTCAAGCTCAAAGGTCCACTGAAACAATATAAATTTAGAGCAGAGCAAACATAGACCTCTCAAAACATCAGAGGTGGGATCAAGCTAGATTTCCGCATAGCGTCACTGGAAAATGACTGAGATATCCGTAATAAGTCATCTATGAATACATACATACATGTATGAGTATACAATTATCGTAATTATGAAAAGACTACGGTGAAATATTTATGCCATCCTCATAAATTTTTGTCAACATAAGATATCGCTTGAAGCCAAGATAACTATCTTGTCAAGTCAAGAAAACTTTCTGGTTTAGTAGAGATACACCAACTTATATCTCGTCTAGGCAAGATAGGCTATCATATTCTGTTGTGAAAACTATCTCGACATGACGAAATAATTTATCACGTACCATGGCTAAAATAGTTGCGTTTTCAAGCACTACCTCTTCATATTTGCAGTCACGATAGCTATATTGATGTATATAAATAGGTGACGTGTTATAAGTGCCTCAGTAATTTTCCAATGAAATAAGAAGATCTCTTCTATCAAACTGTTATTCTGTTAAGTATACCATGCATAATTTCAAAGGAATTCAGTTGGAACCAATGCGTGTTCAAACCGTGTCTATGTTTACAGTAAAATTAGATACAAATATGTGTAAACCAAACCAATAAATTTTTTACTTAATTATATGTAATATTTGCAATAACAGTATTAATTCAATAGATTTACTATTCAATTATATAAATTATTTTAATTTATTTATTTATTGTTTATCAATACTTGGCTATGACATCATTATGGGTAGTTCTTTAAAAAATGAATGACTCTATGCATTAATTGTTTCACTAATGCTATGCAAGTATCTCAAAAAGACAGATAATATAGATGTTGAATTTTGCCTATTTTGTTAACTTGTAACAGAGATATTGTATGGATCTGTTTATATGAAAATCTTTATCTCTAAAAATTATGTTCAACCTATATACAGTCATAGTCAAAGCAAAAATAAGGAGACAGTACTTGTCAACACAAACATTTTAGTCATGATACAAGATCAATTATCCTGTCATGTCGAGATAGCTATCACAACAAAATGTGATAGCTTATCTTGACTAGATGAGATAGAAGTTTGTGTACCACGACAAAATCAGCAAGTTTTCTTGACTTGACGAGATAGTTATCTTGACTTGAAATCTTTTGTCAACATTTATCTGGATGGCATAATTTTGCCACCATACTATGGTGGAGTATGTCATTACTCGGAAATATGACACAAAAATGTTTTCTGGAAAGCACTCAATTTATTTATATATTTCAAAGAAAAGAGGGACAAGCAAATAGAATAGTATAAAAGAAAAAGAAAATGCAGGTTTTGAGTAAATAAAGTTGCACTTCTGAACTTTTGCTTCAGTGTTTGCCATGATGGTCCAACTGAGCCTCATTTTTTTTCTAACAGTCATATCACATTCTCTCGCCATTATAACATTTCTAAAACGACCTTCGGCGATTGAATTGTTAACGAGTAGAGATCCTTTCGCCTGCAATGAAACTTTATTTGACACAGATACCTGCCAAAATGTAACTTACGATTATTTCTGCACGCTTAACAAATCTACCCAGGACTGGTTTTATGAGCTTTACAGAGAGTCAATGTCGGACACACAGCATACACGGAAGGAGATCAGGACACTGGGTGAGACAGAGAGACAGGAATACATTGATGCTGTACTGGCCCTGAAAAAAGACACGGTAAGGAGATATACATATTCAAAATAGCATCTGCAATCTATTCTAACAGATAGGTTATTTATATGAATCCAAATCAGTTTGGCAAAGAAGCTAATCTGTCAATATATGTGCGCATCTTTTTTAAGATTTTTACTACTCTCAAAAAGCATTTTAAGGTAGATCTAAGAGACAAATCCAAATTTAAAAAGAATTCGTAGGACTTAAATTATAATCGAAAAACACAAATAAATTTTCTCACTGGGTATACTGTCGAAGACATTTTGAGAACTATAAATTAAGAAGAAACTTTGAAGCATGAATGATGGTGCATTATTTAAGGGATTAGTACTTTTTAAATGAATCAAAAGAATTTACTGGACAAAAATTATTCTAAAAATTATTCAGTTGTGAAGTGAGTGATAATTTTGACGATTTTAACACTAAGAATACAATTCTATTTTTAAAATTTTCATTTTCTAGACCATATGGCCCAACAAATATGACGCAATTGCAATGATTCACACCAACCAGACTATTTGCTCCATTCATAGAGGGAGCAACTTTTTAGGATGGCACAGAGTTTTTCTTCTCATGTGAGTTTCTATATCTTTTACCATTCCTTTTTTTTTGCTAATTTATTTCTAAGATTACATATTTTGTACATCATTTGAACACAGTCTTATGTTTTGTTCAAGTCTTGTGTTGATTAGTGCAAATAAAGCGGTAAACTCATTAGAGTTAAAATATCAACTTAAACTGAATTGAAGCTTTAACATGCCGCTTTTGATTTTTTTGCCTGAATATAATTATATGAAATTAAATCACCAATAATGTAGCTATTTTCAACAGATTTGAATCAGCTCTTCGTCAGAAAAACAAAAAGGTGGCTCTACCGTATTGGGATTCCCTACTAGACAACTACATGGACAACAACCCGACTCCTTCAGAGTCTATTATCTTTACGAATGAATTTTTGGGAAATGGTAAAGGTATTGTGCGAACAGGCCCATTCAAATTTTGGAAAGATGTCAATAACTGCACACTTCGGAGAAATCTGAATTTTAATAACTCCGGTACTTTAATGACACACAGCACTATCGATATGATCATGAATGACTTGTCTGTACATCACATGAAACAAATAGTTTATAACAAGGAAAACAATACCCACACATTGGAAGGACAACACAACATTGTTCACGATTGGGTGGGCGGTATGATGTCCATTTTGGACGATTCTCCTCGTGATCCCGTCTTTTTTCTCCACCATGCTTACATCGACTATATATGGAGCAAATTTATTCAGAAACAAACGGCTATGAAAGTTGAAGAAGAATATGAAATTGTTGGGGATGACATCAAACGTCATTATCCTAACCGCACGATGGATTGTTTCTATTGGATGAGAAATGTGGACGGCCTTAAAGCAAGTCTTGCAGCAAATGTTCGTTACGAAGATTCACCTACATGTCCGGATTGTGGTCAGTCTAAATACCTGAAATGTGATAGGAATCTTAATAGATGCGTTCCAAGTGATAAGTTTACAACGGCTGGAAAAGATAGTGTTCACATGACATTTTTCACACCCATTCTGTTTTCTTTATTTCTTTATTTTATTTCACTACTTATATAATATCATGGGTAATTACTTTGTATCTTTTTTATGTCACAAATATACTCGCTGTCATATTGTCCAATATATGTAATTGATTTTTAAGATCAGACAACACTTTCCTGAAATATCTGATTTTGCATCTCTTCAAAATATACCAAAACATCTTTTTATAATTATTAATATCTTCTGATTTCTAAGCAATTGAAAAAATTGAAAAATGTCTGGAAAAAATATTTGAATCAACAAGAGGCCCAAGGGCCTTAACGGTCACCTGAGTATAATACAACAATTTAGAGGATCCATAGAGTATAAAATGAACTGAAAGGTGAAGCTTTGTTGCCCAAAAAGCAAGAAAAACAGGGTGATCAGGATCAACAAAATAATTAGTCTACTATTCATTAACAGTTCATAAATTAGGTTCTAATCTGTTCCCCATTTATCACTATCGCTATACAGCATATTAAAAAACCTATCAGTGCTTCTGTACTATTTTAATTTCTTGTTGAAATCTCTTACATTGGCCTCTCTTGGTCTTTGATGAACATTTAATAAGACAAGCTATTTTTGTTCCATTTTTATTTATCTATTACTTACAAGTCTACCTGATCATTAAAACCATGAAAATACTTTTTGTATTATACAATAAAAATTCTTGCATAATTCTCTTATTCTATTAACCTTTCAAGTACATTGTTTACAGTGATTAATTATCAAAAATAAACGGCAAAGGGGAATGACTCCTCTCAGTAGAATACAAATTAATAGAGCCCTGGCCAGGACCAGAACACTTGAACAAATGGTCCAGATGTTAAAAAATCTGGTAAAAATACCCTTCCTTATTAAACCTTTTAATCTTTTTGCCTCTGATATGCCCAAGTGCAGAGAAAATTTTTAAAGAAATAATGCATTTTTACTTCAGATTCACTATATTATCAATAGAGCCCCCCCCCCCTCCCCACCAAGAAACACTAAGAGTCTCTCACCCTGGGACAAGAAGTTTGCTCATCATAAGTAATCACTTTGTTTATCTGCTTAACACTAAGGAGTAGACAGGATTATTTAATAGATTTAATGCATTTTCACTATATTATCAAGAGCCCCACCCTTACACCAGCACATCTGACCCGGGTCATGCAGTTCACTACTCTGGAAGAAGCACTCTTGCTCATCATAACTATATACTTAGCTTCTTTGCTTTTTAACCAGAAGCAGAAAAGAATATTTTCAAAGAAATTTTGCTTTTTCACTATATAATCAATAAAGCCCCCCCCCCAACCTTTTCACTAGAACCCTTGACCCTAGGGCCATGAAATTCACAATTTTGGAAGAGGCATTCTTGTGTATCATAACAATGTATTTAATTTGTTTAAAAAGTACCCAGAGGCAGAGAAGAAGATTTTCAAAGAAAAAATTCACCTTCACTATAGGATCTATAATAGCCCCACCCTAGAACCAGAATCCCTGTCCCTGGGGCCATGAATTTCACAATTTTGGAAGAGGCATCATTGCTTATCATAACAATGTACTTAGCTTGTTTCAAAAATACCCAGTAGCAGAGAAGATTTTTAAAGCATAAATGCATTTTCACTATATAATAAATAGAGCCCGGCCCCCAACATCAGAACCCCTGATCCAAGGGTCATGAAAATCACCATAATTTTGGAAGAGGCATCCTTCCTAATATCATAACTATGTATTTGATTTGTTTCAATAATACCCAGGAGTAGAGAAGATTTTCAAAGAAATAATACACATTCACTATATAATCTATATAGCCCCGCCCTAGCAACAGAGCCCCTGACGCTGGGGCCATGAATTTCACAATTTTGGTAGAGTCACCCTTGCTTATCATAACTATGTATTCAATAATACCCAGGAGCACAGAAGAAGATTTTCAAAGAAATAATGCACTTTCACTACATGATCAATATACCCCCCCCCCCCACAGCACCAGAACCCCTGACCCTGGGGCTATGAATTTAAAAAATTTTGGTAGAGTCACTCTTGCTTATCATAACTAAGTATTTAATTTGTTTAAATAATACCCAGGAGTAGAGAAGAAGATTTTCAAAGAAATAATGCACATTCACTATATGATCTATATAACCCCGCCCTAGCAACAGAACCCCTGACCCTGGGGCCATGAATTTCACAATTTTAGTAGAGTCACCCTTGCTTATCATAACTATGTATTCAATTTGTTCCAATGATACCCAGGAGTAGAGAAGAAGATTTTCAAAGAAGTAATGCACTTTCACTATATGATCTATATAGTGCCCTTCCCCCTCCCCCTAGCACCAGAACCCCTGATCCTGGGGCTATGAATTTCACAATTTTGGTAGAGTCACTCTTGCTTAACATAACTATGTATTTAATTTGTTTCAATAATACCCAGGAGTAGAGAAGAAGATTTTCAAAGAAATAATGCACTTTCACTATATGATCTATATAACCCCACCCTAGCACCAGAACCCCTGACCCTGGGGCCATGAATTTCACAATTTTGGTAGAGGGCTCAATGCTTATTACAATCATGCTAACAGTTTGACTGCTTGATGTCCAGGAGTAAAGAAGAAGATTTTTAAAGATTGCATTAATTTTGGTGGTTTTAGCCCCACCCCTCAGGCCCCAGGGGGGCAGGGACCATGATATTCACAAATTTTGTTCCCCTTCACACATAGATGCCATATGCTAAAATTGGCTGAAATTGGTTCAGCGGTTTCAGAGAAGAAGCTGAAAATGTTCAAATGTTAACACACGACTGACGACGACGGACGAAAACAGATAGCAATAGGTCACCTGAGTGACTCAGGTGACCTAAAAATAGGCTAATGTTATAAAGATTTTATATCTAGATTTATCCATCATCATATGAAAATTTACCTTTTATATGTTTTGGTTGAAAAATCAGTGTAGGTTCAAAAATGCAAGAGTTGCTGTTATTTGTTTGTTAAGAGTTAACAGCCCTTTGTTTTGAAAAGTCTGGTAGGTGGCGACACCTCTATCCTCTGTTTTTAGAGCATAAAATCTATCCTCCAAAAACGGAGGCCGCCCAGACCTGTGTATTGCACTAGAGTTGCTATCTCAATTTCTTTTCATTCTGGGTAATTATATGAAACGAGATAACAATTCAGTGAAATTATCATTAATGTGAAGATTTTCAGAACACGGAAGATTCAAAAATTAATCGGGAGGGGCAGAAGGGGGTTGAAATATAGGGATATTTTGTCTCCCATCGGAAGAATCACATGTATGCAACTTGTAACTGGTAATACTTAGAATAAATTAGTGTTGCCTGATTAGGTTGTACAAGTTAAAACTTAAATTAGTGAAAGCTGATTTAGTTGTACTTTGTAATACTTAAAATAAATAAGTGATGGCTGATTAAGTTATAAACGGTAAAATTTAAATTAGTGAAAGCTGATTCAGTTGTACTTGGTAATACTTACAATAAATAAGTGATGCCTGATAAGTTATACACGGTAAAACTTACGATAAATTGATGGTGGTTGTTGACCTGTCTTTCCCACGTCCCAAATGGAATGTCTCGCCCAAAAGGATGGCCAAAGGTCACTCTATCCCCCTCAGATAATATAACATTCCCTGTAGGAGAAATAACCAATTTCTCAAATCAATCTTGTACAAGAGCAATCAAACAAAATAATGTTCCTCTGCAAGAATGTGCATGAATTATTGTTCCCCTGCAATAAAATAGGTTTATCATTCCTTCTGTGAAACAGGACAAGATAATTCTTGTTTCTATGCAATAATGCATAACATTTATTGTCTTCCTACAATAAAATAGAGTTTATCATTCTCTCAATGGAACAAGCCTTTATATATTCTAAGCAAGTGCATTGAAAATAAGTAGAAATACACATCTAATAAACTATACACCCAAATGGAGGTGGAATAATCCAACGTTTCAACAAATATTGTCGAAATTCATTATTTCAAACTTGATGGGACTGAGAATAAACTTTGAGATATTCGAGGGTTCGAGATATTGAGGGTAAAATACTTGAAAAGAGCTTGGGACCCCAAATCACTTGGACATATCTATGGTGTTCTAGATACCTGTTTCGAGATATTAAAGTTCAGTTGTATTGTAGAACATGTATTTCCACAACTATTCTCACATCATACGACATTGTATTAAAACTATTTGTAAAAACAATTTCAATTTTTTATTTTATCAAAGTTTTAAACATTTAACAAAAGATAATTTTTTTAATTTGATGCCAATCAGCTGTTTTGGTGAATTTTTACATTACCTCTTATCTTAATATGGTTCACAAAGACACCATTCAAACTATCATCAAACAATTTGTGGTCATTGTTTGGTTGTATAACCACTCGAGCATGACTTCGGGAAATCATCTGTGACTGCACTCTGGTGTCCGAATCAATGTAGAAATCAACCTCTAGACCATTCCGTCCAATGATACTTGTTACCTTATAAAAACTGAAAAAAGACTTCTTCTTCAGTTGGTAAATTTGCTATCAAGTACCTTGAGTATTTTTGTGAATTTTTCAATTCTTGTAAGAAGAACTAGGGGAGAAAAACATAAAACAAAATAGGTGTAATTTAGACTAGATCACATTTTACTTTTTAAAAATAACATTACCCTTTGCCTTTCACCTTTTTTCTAGTCAGTATATTTCAAAAATTATCAATCAAATGCTTAATGCATCAAAGTGTCCTCACGTTAACTTATAATTATAATAGAATGTAAAAATATTTTCCCCTTAAATTCTGCTTTGATAACTTACTCCATGACAGAAACCACCCTTGGTCTATTAGGAGCTGGTCCGATTCTCTTCAGATGGAACTGAGGATGGTTGGAACTGTTCAGTCTCTCCATTGTAACTTACCAACTTAGGAGCATTAATCTACTGGAACATGGAAGTTAAAATCATCACGTTCTAATGTATAAATGTAGCATTATTTACAGAGGTAACTACGAGTTGGGAAGGTAACTTAAAAGCAGATCACACAAAATATTCAATTTTGGGTGTCAAATATACAAGAGTATCCTTAAACAAGAGGCCCAAGGGCCTTAACGGTCACCTGAGTATAATAGTACAATTTAGAGGATCCATAGAGTATAAAATGAACTGAAAGGTGAAGCTTTGTTGCCCAAAAGCAAGAAAAATAGGGTGATCAGGATCAACAAAATAATTAGTCTACTATTCATTAACAGTTCATAAATTAGATTCTAATCTGTTCCACCATTTATCACTATCACCATACAGTATATTAAATAGCAAACTATCAGTGCTTCTGTACTATTTTAATTTCTTGTTAAAATCTCTTACATTGGCTTCTCTTGGTCTTTGATGAACATTTAAAAAGACAAGTTATTTTTGTCTCATTTTTATTTATCTATTACTTACAAGTATATCTGATCATTAAAACTATGAAAGTCCTTATGTACTATACAATAAACATTCTTGCATAATTCTCTTATTCTATTAACCTTTCAAGTACATTACTTACAGTGATTAATTATCAAAAGTAAACGGCAAAGGGGAATAACTCCTCTCAGTAGAATACAAATTAATAGAGCCCTGGCCAGGACCAGAACATTTGACCAAATGGTCCAGGTGTTCAAAAATCTAGTAAAAATACTCTTCCTTATTAAAACTTTTACTCTTTTTTCCTCCGATATGCCCAAGTGCAGAGAAGACTTTAAAAGAAATAATGCATTTTATTACAGATTCACTATATTATCAATAGAGCCCACCCCCCCACCCCTCCCCAGCAAGAAACACCAGATCCTCTCACCCTGGGACCAGAAGTTTGCTCATCATAAGTAATCACTTTGTTTATCTGCTTAACACTAAGAGTAGACAGGATTATTTAATGGAATTAATGCATTTTCACTATATTATCAAGAGCCCCACCCTTACACCAGCACATCTGACCCAGGGGTCATGCAATTCACTACTCTGGAAGAAGCACTCTTGCTCATCATAACTATATACTTAGCTTCTTTGCTTTTTAACCAGGAACAGAAAAGAATATTTTCAAAGAAATTTTGCTTTTTCACTATATAATCAACAGAGCCCCCCCCCCTTTTTTTCACCAGAACCCTTGACCCTGGGGCTATGAATTTCACAATTTTGGTAGAGTCACTCTTGCTTATCATAACAATGTATTTAATTTGTTTAAATAATACCCAGGAGTAGAGAAGAAGATTTTCAAAGAAATAATGCACTTTCACTATATGATCTATATAGCTCCACCCTAGCACCAGAACCCCTGACCCTGGGGCAAGAATTTCACAATTCTGGTAGAGTCACTCTTGCTTATCATAACTATGTATTTAATTTGTTTAAATAATACCCAGGAGCAGAAAAGAATATTTCCAAAGAAATAATGCACTTTCATATATGATCTATATAGCCCCGCCCTAGCACCAGAACCCCTGACCCTGGGGCTATGAGTTTCACAATTTTGGTAGAGGGACTCTTGCTTATCATAACAATGTATTTAATTTGTTTAAATAATACCCAGGGGCAGAGAAGAAGATTTTCAAAGAAATAATTCACCTTCACTATAGGATCTATATAGCCCCACCCTAACACCAGAACCCCTGATCCCCGGGCCCTGAATTTCACAATTTTGGAAGAGGCATCCTTGCTTATCATAACTATGTATTCAATTTGTTTAAATAATACCCAGGAGTAGAGAAGAAGATTTTCAAAAAAAAAATAATGCACTTTCACTATATGATCTATCTAGCCCCACCCTAGCCCAGAACCCCTGACCCTGGGGCTATGAATTTCACAATTTTGGTAGAGTCACTCTTGCTTATCATAACAATGTATTTAATTTGTTTCAATAATACCCAGGAGTAGAGAAGAAGATTTTCAAAGAAATAATGCACTTTCACTATATGATCTATCTAGCCCCGCCCTAGCACCGGAACCCCTGACCCTGGGGCCATGAATTTCACAATTTTGGTAGAGGGCTCAATGCTTATTACAATCATGCCAACAGTTTGACTGCTTGATGTCCAGGAGTAAAGAAGAAGATTTTTAAAGATAGCACTAATTTTTATGGTTTTAGCCCCACCCCTCAGGCCCCAGGGTGGCAGGGACCATGATATTCACAATTTTTGTACCCTTTCACCCATTGATGCTATATGCCAAAATTGGTTGAAACTGGTTCAGTGGTTCAAGAGAAGAAGCTGAAAATGTTCAAAAGTTTACGACCGACGGACGACTGACGACGACGGACGAAAACAGATAGCAATAGGTCACCTGAGTGACTCAGGTGACCTAAAAATCCCGATATGAGCATTTCAAGTATTTCCCAGTTAATGAGTAGGATTATATAGGAAATGCTATCCTCCTGGATCTTTCACAAATGCCTGGTAAAGTACCCCAGTTCTTAAAGAAAGAGAAGTTAATCAAATTCTTAGGGAAAATTATATATTTTTTGGGAACATGTCGTCTGACCTTAAGCCGTTATTTTCTAACTGATTTGCGAACGTTTCTGACTTCAACGTTTTTAAAACCCAATCAAAACAATTGGATGATTTTAGTCGTGGGGGACTGACGGTTAGTTGACTGTGTCCTTAGCAATTGACCTCTTCCGGTGTTTTCTGGCATCAGTGTTGTACCCATTCTCTTTGTCTAATTCAGGGATTGAATACGGTTTGTTATTTCATTTCAAAGCAAAAATAAGTTTAGGCATCTAATTGAATGCCCGAATATACAAATCACTAGTATTCAAATACTCATCATATTTATAACTGTTCTTATTGAAGCAATTGTGTAAGAAATATAGTATTGTTCCTTGTCAGCTTTTTATTTGTTAAGCAGCCATGAGCGAGAAAGGACAACAATAGAACTCCTTTTTTATTCTTTGAAATAAAGCTAAAAAATACTTTCAACTATTACTGAAATAACTTTTCTTTGTAAATCTTCTTTAAGTTTCGATTACCTAGAATTTCTTTTGGCCCAAAACACACGTAGAACGTATCGTCTTTCATTCTTTGTTTCCGTCTTGTTCGTATTTAATACCAAGAAAACCACAACATCAAACTTTAAATGTATATATTATTGTCTATTTAAAAATATGGGTCACGTTCTTTAATGTATATCGAAGTGGAAATGTATCTAATTTAGCAAGCCTGATATGCTGAATCTAATTTATTTATATTTATACACGTATTCGATATATCTCAATATCATAATAAAAGAAAGCCAAATTGTATGCGCTCATCTTTCTTATATTGATGTCTCACAAGGAAAAGCTATTAATGACAAACTTTTCTTAGGAGGAGGGGTTTTAAACCCTTGTAGAGATATACGTATTGTCAGCAATTTATTTAAGAACAGATGATACAAACTTTAATCAAAAATTTTGTAACAACTTTTAGTCATGCTTATATATAAGTAAAATGAATAAGTTTCAATGCATAGATTTTAATTTTATAAGTGACAAATATTTGTATACACTAATATATACATTTGTGGTACCTCTCTATTATATAAACATACAGAGAGCAAATATCTTCATACCTGTATGAAGTTTTTCGAAGGTCATAGGTCATTACGTAACCTAATCACATAGCGCAATATCTACATAAAAAGACTTACTCTACTTAGCAATATAGCATGTTTTTCATGTACAAATATGTACAAAATACGCAAGTAAAATAATAATCATTTTATTTACAATACAAACTAGTATTTAATACAGTTCTTGATCAATTTTACATAGAGAATAGAAAACTACATGTTATAAGTTTCATGTCTGAGCTGCATAATCTAAACGTTTACCCTTATTTTCTTGTAGACCTCTGAATGCTATAATTTTTTTCATTAAACTTTACTCACAATAAATTTGAAAAATCTGTTGGAAAATATCAATGTAACGCAATCACGCCACAAACAGCTGACAAACACTGCACTTCGGAAGTTCGGTTGGCACACCTCCATCATCGAGATCGTTTTCTTAACAATGTAAGCTGTCACCAGTGTCTCCGTGTCGACAACATAATAAATATACCTTACTGAAATAGTAGATTTTATGTTTCTGATCAAATTTGATACTTGAATTCAAGTTAACTGATCCGGACAAGTGTCTCCATCCATCCCTTTCCGACCAAAATTCCTCCAACTTAAATTTATTATCAAACATCGGATGCGTTTCTTGTGTTTTTTTAAACATCGAATATGGGTTCTCATGAATACAAAAATTCCCAAGCACCAATATGCTCACTATGATTGATCACAAGTAGCCTTTCACAGAATATCCCCTTCAAAACTGAATCCTTTCTCAGGTGAATTTGAAGCGTAACCGCTTTTCAAGCCGATTTACACCTTGCGCAATTTGTCAAAATCTACGACGAACAGTTAATGCAGTATTTATATTCGGTTATATTCAATTGTCCGTTTCAAATGTATATATAAGTAATAAATAACAAGTTTAAAAACTTCACTGGGAAATGAAGTGGGTCGGTTCGTGATCAAATCTTCTGAGAAGGCCTTCTTAATATCTTTATTTTAAGTTTAAATTCAGGTCCAAGAAATTTATGGAATCATTCAAAAACATATTATAAACTAAATCTTGCCGTTTTTGGGGTGGTATTAATTGCTAAGTATTTATCATTGGGGTTAAATACCAAACCCATGACGTCATAACTATTGAGCAAATATTTGCCTAGTGAAAATTAAACGTGACGAGAATTCATGTAAACAAATATATGAAATGGGAGTTTTAAAGCATTTACTGTGAATTTTATGTGTGATTCATAAGGAATTAAAGATTAAGAATGTACGCTGATTTATTCTTATCATGATTTCTTATAATGAACACAGGCAGTGTTTTGAAATCCCGATCAGCCTC